AGCGCGTCGAAAGACGAGCCGCTGGAGTCCCTGAAGGTGGCGATGGCCGCCCTGATCTCGCTCACCGAAGGCCGGGCAGGGCGCTCGCCAAGATCAGCTGGCCACTCGAGCGGCGCCTTCGTGAGCTCGCCCCCCAGCGGCGTGGGGGCCCCCACTCCCCAATATCCTGACCACTCCTTCACCAGGGCTTGGACCGTCTGAGAGGGCGTCCTAGGCTCGCTCCCAGGGTCCCCAGAGGGCCTCGCTTGCCAGCCCTGCGGAGGTTTGGTCCAGGAGTGGAGGGCCCCCGTACCTCTAGCGTGATTCTCGGCGATCCAGTCTGCGAAGCCAGCCTTCGCCTTGTCAGCGTCCCGCTGCACAAGCTTGTCTGCCATGGTGGTGGCGATGAAGCTCGCAACCTGCAGCTGGGGCAGATCCATGAACTGCGCCGCCTGCGCAAAGCCCAGCAAGGTAATGTGAGCCTGCGCCGTCTCCTGCCTGGAGTCGGCCCGAAAATCGGGCTGGGCACTGCGCAATCGATCGAGCGCCTTCAGCGCCCCGAACCTCTTCAGCTCGAGGTCGACCTGCGCAGCGTCCTTGAGCGCGATGGCCACGCTCTTGCTCCAGGAGGTGGTGGCGGTCATCCTCGGCAGCCTGGGCGCCGACGGCTTGAGCACCTTGACTACGGCCAGCCTGGGCCGCCATTCACGTCCAGCAAACTCGTGATACGCGTGCTTTAGGCCGATGGCGTCCAGCAAGTACCACTCGGCGCTGTGGATGAAGGTCTGCCACATGCTGTCCAGCGAAGAAGTAGCCGCCATGCGGCCGCGCGCCTCCGTCCACATCTGGGAGTGGTCCTCGGTGCAGCACGCCTTGGGTAGAGGGTGCGGGAGCTTCTTGGGGCCCTTCATGACCTGCATGTACCTGTTGACCGAGCTGGCGTTGAACCTGAGCTCGACAGGGAAGTGAGGAGAGAGATCCCAACCTAGCTTGATCTCCGCCTGCGCATCCGAGATCACGTGTGAGATGACGAAGTAGTCAATCACCTTGCCCGATGGCCGAATGGTGCCGTCCGCTGGCGAGACCACCTTGCCTCCGACGCGCTCGAGAAAGCCAGAGCACTGGAGCTCGTGGGGCTCCATGTTGAAATCTCCCGCGATCACGAAGGGTTTGCCAATGGCGCGAATCGCCATCGCGATGCCGTCCAAGATGCCAAGGTTGTAAGCCGAGAGGCCTTCGCCAACCTTCAAGTAGACGTTGATCCAAGCCAGGCCCCCAGGGAAGGGGCCTGCTACATGCGCGACAGCCGCGCGACCTGGCGTGAGCACCGTCGGCTGCCCAGCCTCGAACTCGCCTAGGCCCGAGGACCTGGGCGCCAGCTGCAGGAGGCCACCGTGACCAGCATGCCCAACAGAGACGTCAGTAGCTGGCGTGGCAAGCGCATGCCAGCCCAGCCCCTGCAGCTTGTCGGTGACCTCGCAGCACCGCTCCTGAGACAAGTGCGTCTCCTGGACCGCGACGAGGTCGCAACTCCTGAGACTCTCGTAGCCGAGAAAGCTCTCGAACCTGCTGTACGCGCTGGCGTTGATGGAG